TGGAGTGCAGTGACTCGATCTCAGCTCACTGCAACCTCTGCCTCCTGAGTTCAAGTGATTCTTGTGCCTCAGCCTCTTGAGCAGATGGGACTACAGGCGTGCACCGCCACGCCCAGCTAATTTTTGTATTTTTAGTAGAGACGAGGTTTCACCATATTGGCCAGGATGATCTCGATCTCTTGACCTCGTGATCTGCCTGCCTTGGCCTCCCAAAGTGCTGGGATTACAGGCCTGAGCCACGCGTCTGGTGTACAGTTTAACTATTTTTTAAGACTTTATTTTTGTAGAGCAGTTTAAGGTTCACATCAAAATTGAGAGGAAAGTATAGAGATTTATCATAAGCCCCCTACCCCTACACGTGCATAGCCTCCCTCATTATCAATATCCCACACCACAGTGGTACTTTTTTGAGACAGGGTCTCACTGTGTTGCCCAGGGTGGAATGCGGTGGTACGATTGATCTCAGCTCACTGCAACCTCTGCCTCCGGGATTCAAGTAATTCTTGCGCCTCAGCTTCCTGAGCAGATGCGACTACAGGTGTGCGCCACCATGTCTGTAATTTTTTATATTTTTAGTAGAGACAGGGTTTCACCACGTTGGTTAGGCTGGTCTTGAACTCCTAGTCTCACGTGATCCACCCGCCTTGGCCTCCCAAAGTGTTGGGATTACAGGCATGAGGCACCAAGGCTGGCCCAGAGTGGTACCTTTTTCTTACAATTGGTGAACATATATTGACATACTTATCACCCAAAGTCCATACTTTATCTTAAAGCTCACTCTAGGTGTTGTACATTCCATGGGTTTGGACAAATGTTCAATGGCGTGTATCCACCATTATGGTATAATAGAGAGTTGTTTCACTGCCCTATAGATCCTCTGTGCTCTGCCTCTCGCTCCTTCTCCCCACAGCCTCCCAACCCCTGGTAACCACTGATCTTTTTACTGTTTCCATAGTTTGGCCTTTTCCAGAATGTCATATCGTTGGGATAACGGAAGCTTTTTCAGATTGGCTTCTTTCACTTAGTAATACGCCTTTAAGTTTTCTCTGTATCTTTTCATGGCTTGATGGCTAATTTTCTTTTTTTTTGAGATGGAGTCTCGCTCTGTTGCCCAGGCTGGAGTACAGTGGTACGATCTCGGCTCACTGCAAGCTCTGCCTCCTGGGTTCACGCCATTCTCCTGCCTCAGCCTCCCGAGTAGCTGGGACTACAGGCACCTGCCACAATGCCCGACTAAGGCTTATTTCTTTTTAGTGATAAATAATAGTCCATTGTCTGGATGTACTACAGTTTATCCATTTACCTATTAACATCTTGTTTGCTTCCAAATTTGGGCAATTACAATTAAAACTCCTATAAACACCCATGTGCAGGTGTTGTTTTGTTTTTTTATTGTTATTTTTAGAGACAGGATCTCACTTTGTTGACCAGGCTGGTGTGCAGCGACTATTCACAGGTGTGATCAGAGCTACAGCCTCAAACTCCTGGGCTCAAGTGATCCTCCTGCCTCAGCCTCTGAGTAGCTGGGGTTGTGGCACATGTCACTGTGACTGGCTCATGTGCTACATTTTATGTGGATGTAAGTTTTCAGCTCCTCTGGGTAAATACCAAGGGGTGCAGTGGCTGGATTATATGGTAAGGGTATGTTTAGTTTTGTAAGAAACGGCCAAACTGTCTTCCAAATTGGTTGTATCCTTTTGCATAATCAGTAGCAAGGAATAAGAGTTTCTGTTGCTCTATACCCTCACCAGCATTTGGTGTTGTCAGTGTTCTGGATTTGGGGCATTTTGTTGTACAAGTTATCAATACTTGCCTTACGGTTTTGGGTCTTGTATTTCACCATGCCACTCAGATTGTATTTTATTTTTCACGTTTATAAGTTTTTTTTTTAATGTTGAAATCTCTGTCCATTTTATTTGGGATTTATTTTTATATGAGCAGTAGGACAGGAATCGGGCTTTATGTTTTTTTCCAAGGAGCTGGTCAGTTTCCTCACTATTTCTTGAATAATCTAACTTGTCCAACTAGTTTGGAATGCTACTTTTATAAGATAATAAATAAGCATAAGTGAGTTTCTTTGTGGATTCCCTTTTCTGTTAATCGAATCTCTGATTATTTCCTCTCCAGAAGAAAATGGGACCTTATTCATTTATAGGCTTTAATATCTGTTAGAGTCTCTCTCACTACTTACTCTTTTATTTCCCTCAGAAGTTTTCTTTGCATTCATTCCTTTTATTTCCAGTATCATTCTTTAAAATTCCTGCTATTAAAAAATACTATTTTATTGAGGTAACATAAAATATACAAACTAATTTAGAAATAGTTGACTTTGGGAGGGGGAAGGGATTGCATTGGGAGTTATACCTGACGTAAATGACGAGTTGATGCGTGCTGACGAGTTGATGGGTGCAGCACACCAACGTGGCACAAATATACATGTGTAACAAACCTGCACATTATGCACATGTACCCTAGAACTTAAAGTATAATAAAAAAAAAATAAAAAAATAAAAAAATTTTAAAAATTAAAAAAAAAAGAAATAGTTGACTTTATATTACTGTTTTCTTTTCCAAGAATAAGATAAACTTTCTGTTACATTATGCGGTCATTTAAAATTTTTCTGTGTATATATTTTCTACATTTCTTGTATATTACCTATTGTTTTTTTTACTTGCTGTGGTGTATAAGGTAGTTCTTGTATTATATTTCCCGTCTGGTTATTGTCTGTTTATATTAAAATGATTGTGTATTTTAATTTAATAAAATAACCACTTTTTGATGCTTTCTTTAGTTCCAAAATTTGGGGCTGATCATCCTGAGCTATCTAAAAATACAATTGCAGTCTTAATACATGATGATCATTTTGCTTTGTTTCCAATTTTCATCGCTTCTTTCCCTAACTGTGTTGGATGGTGCTTCTAGAACTCTGGGAAATGGCAGTAGGAGCCTGCGTCCTCAGTCTTGCTTTTTGTTGTTGTTTTGCTCCAGGGTCTTCAGCACTGTGACCAAGTCTTGCTCAGATTCTAACGTCTTTCTCTTTGGTGTGTGGGAAGGTCTGTGGTTGAGTCAAGGTCAGAGCTTCTTTGCCTTGTTTCTAGGCCATTCAGAGAAACTACACCTTAAGGTAAGGGAGTTTTCCACAGGGACCAGTCACCTCCCTGGAGTTATGCCCCAGGGTTTGAGTCCCTGCAGCGATGCATGATGTGAAAAGAGTAGCTGCCTGAGACAGAATGTGGGTATTCCTGTTCTCCCATCCAGGCGGTTTCCCACCCAGTTACGTCATTGCCAAAGACACATTTTTTATGTATTAACTATAACTCATTTGCCATTTGTACCTTATATGTGTGCTTATCCAAATAGTCTGTTTTTCTAATTATAATTTAGGTTTTTAAAATTCTGGCAACAAATTATGTACTTCTATAAACACCCGGTCCCTGGCATAAAGTCTTGCACTCAGTAGATTCTCCATCAATGATTAACTGAACTTAGTTATGTGAGGCACTTCGAAATGAGGAAAGTACACTTCATATAAGACATAAGTTCTTAGTAACAATGAGGACAGTCGTCTTAGTCATCTCTCAGTGCTGTTTCCAGATCAAAGAGATAATGGATGGAAGAAAACTTGGAATATTCGTAACATTGCTAAGGCTGACTTTCCATTCCACATACCATATTGTAATGAAATGATGATTATTGTTTGTTTTCTTAACTAGACCATGAGCTCTTTGAGGACAGGAGCCAAGTCTTTTTTATCCTTACATTCTTGGCACCCACTCCAGGTCTTGACATGTAGTGAGTACATAATCAATGTAGAACTGAACAGAACTACAACCCACAGCATGTCTTCTGATATGAGGCCAGTTACACTCTTGTCTGAAGGTCATGAGATACAGCTTCTATTCTAAATGGCCAAAATGGACCAACCACCAAAGATGAGACCTGGCTCCAGGGACAGCAAGCAAAAGTCCTTGGAGCTCCTAGCTCTAGTTTCTGATGGTTCCTCTGATAATTAATCACATGCTTCTTGGGGCTGTCTCTACTGCTGTTCAATTATTTTATCCTCTTATCTTTTTTTTTTTTTCACACATTTAGGTTAGCAACTTGTGGGGATTGGGATATCATTGTATTTTTAAAAAAGATTCCCTTGCTCCTAGTACAAAATATTGTTTCTACTCCTGACCCAGGCTCATCTAAAAGTCTTTTTTCTCCTCTTCTCTTCCTAGACTGATCTCTTTACTTCCTCTGCTAGATTCTTTTTTTGCTACCCTCTGGATTCCTGGGCCAACTTTTAATGATGCCAATAATTGCCAGGCACTGTGTGGGGCACTTAACATAGAGAAGGTATCACCACACACATATTGCAGATGAGGATGCATTTGAAAGTTTTATTTTTCTATTCTCTTCAAGTAAGGCAAGACAGTTTGGCTGCCTGGATTTTAGGAGGTGTGCAGGTCTCCATGGAGAACACTGGTGAGAGAATGCACTGGTAACTTTACCTCATGATGTGAAGAACCTCACTGAATTTTAAACAATTATTAGATGACCTTGGTGACTTATAAGCACTTGGAAATGTGCATATTAAAAGTACCAGCATCTGTAGTTTTCTGAAGTGCAGATCTGCATGTGGGAGTTTTGAAAGCACATCCTCTGCCTTTGCCTTGTCTAGATGAAGACCTTATTTGAAGACCAAACTTTGTGCGAGATTTTATCATCAAAGTCTTCAAGGACCTTGGGGAGGTCCCAAGAGAACAAAACTGTAGTGAGTCTTACTGGAAAGAGTCTGCTTGGGGCTTGAGTCTTAATGGATAGAAGCAATGATTGTTAAACTTTTTGACTTATGTTCCTTATCAGTAAAAACTGAAATTAAGCAACATTTATGTCCATGCCTCTGTATTTGTATGTCTATTTCAAAATCATACACATATATGACTACAGCATTATATTACATAGGATAGAAAATTTATACAAAAATGGAACATTTTAAAGGATGAGAGAAAACTGAAAAAATAATATTTTAATAATACTTTTAATTATTATCTGTACAAGACCAAATTATAGTGTAAGTTGTATAATTGAAAGTTTATTATTATTATTATTTGAAAATATTATTTCAACATAGCAATTCAGTACCTGGGCCTAATGTTAATTTAGGTTTTAGTAGCTATCTGAATTTTAGAAAGGTACCTCACAGAGATATATAAAGCTAAGCACAAGAAGTGTGTCATTGGCAACACTTACTGAATCATGATGTTTGTTTTTCAACCTTTCTATATTGTCCATTTTCACATATGAGAAAATGAAAGCCCAATGAGGTTTGGAACTTTTCAAGGGCCCCCAGCTGGAATCAGATCCCAGGTCTCCTAATACCCAGGACACTTCTTCCACATTCCAAGGAAAAGCGTTTCCCAACCCTCAACATCTTGCTTTGCAGATACTCTCATGTCTTTTCACATGTATGTGTGGGCTTCCATCTTTCTTCAAGTAATTGGAGGATTTTTCAAGGCAAGGACCATGACTTTATTTTTTGTATTCCCCCAGTACCTAGTGGACAGTGGGGAGAAAGAAGGAGAGAGAAAGGAATCTGCTTCCACACTTCCAATGGAGAGATTCCACTAACTTTGGATTCCCAGTGTATAGACGTTCTCTTCTTGGAAGAAGAGGTAACTCCCCGCACCAGAGACTTTCTTTTTTTCACAGCTCTTCCCATCTGAAACTGTCCAATAGATTTCTGGCACCCTGTACCTGGCATATGAATACCAAGTATTAAACTAACTTTGTTTACCTTTTTGGTCATAAACACTGAGACGGTTTTCTCCTTGCTTGCAATTGCTTATTAAATCATACACTTTTCCAGACTGCAGGTCTTTGGTGGTGGTGATGGTTGGGCACCGCCATCTCAGTTGACCAAATTGGAAAATATGCTAAAGAGCCTCGGCAACCATGGTTCCCCTGTGTGGAATGAGTCCATCAGCCTTTGGTGCAAGAAAAGAAGAGCTTGGACCGGTGCGGTGGCTCACGCCAGTAATCCCAGCCCTTTGGGAGGCTGAGGCGGGTGAATCACAAGGTCAGGAGTTCAAGACCAGCCTGGCCAACGTGGTGAAACCCTATCTCTACTGAAAAAACAAAAAAATTAGCTGGGCATGGTGGCAAGCACCTGTAATCCCAGCTACTCAGGAGGCTGAGGCAGGAAAATCGCTTGAACCCAAGAGGCGGAGGTTGCAGTGAGCTGAGGCTGAGATTGTGCCACTGCACTCCAGCCTTGGCAAAGAGCAAGACTCCATCTCAGAAAAAAAAAAAAAGAAAGAAAGAAGAGCTTGTAAGTATAGAAGAGGAAAAGAAAAGAAATGCATTTATTAAATCCTAAACCCTGCACAGCTAAAAGTTCGAGAGACAGATTTAAAAGATCATCTATTCAAGTAAAATCTCAGGAACAAGACTAACCAGGATTTAGTGTGCTCCTGCAGGAAGCCTATGAAAAGATCCCCCCAAACATCTTAGGGTGCTGTTTCCTCTATTTTCTGATATTTTTCTTCTTGTTTCTTATGACATGCTGATTCCAAGAATTCATGCGATCACACTTCACTATCTTCCATTGGCCTGAGAGTGGGATTCAGGTAAGGCCAAAGCTTCTCTAGAGACAGAAGAGAATATGGGGTCCAATTCCAGTGGGGTTGGCACAGTTCCAATTCCATTTCAGTTCCACAAAACTGAATTGGAGCCCTGTGGTAGAAAGAAATTGTTTTATTTGCCTAACACTCTTGTTGGCTTCTAGCAAATTCACCTCCTACCATTTTGGGGATAATTCCTCCTCCTCCCTGACTTCAACCGTGCAGTTCTAGTCATGACTGCAATCATCACACTTCAATCGATCACTTCAGAAGTAGGGATGTGACTCAAACCATGCCAAGGAGTTTTCTTCCCCACCCCAAGGAGACTTTTGAAGGCTGGAGGTCTTTAGTGGTGGTGATGCTCAGGCACCACCATCTCAGTTGACTAAACTGGAAAATACGCTAAAGAGCCTTAGCGGCCATGGTTCCTCTGTGTGGAATGAGTCCATCAGCCTTTGGAGCAAGAAAAGAAGAGCTTATAAGTACAGAGGAGGAAAAAAAAGAAAAAGAAAGCTGAAAGTTCTTGTTAGCTACAACTTTGGCCTTTCCTAGTTACGTAAACCACTAAATAATGGCTAAAGTAGTTTGAATTTAGTTTCTATTACTTACAATTAAAACTGCCCTGATGATGACAACTGTCCCTTAACATGTACTTGGTCCCATTGCCGGTGTTGAGGAAACAAAGATACATATGATTCTGTATCCGTTCTCAAGTTGCTGAGAATCTGTGAGGAGAGAAAGATACCTCAGCAAATAAGCACAAAGCAATGTGATACGATAGAGGGCATGAAGACAGGGGTAGGTGTGAGGGGGAAAGAGCTCAGGAAATGCTAAGACTGAAGATGGAAATTTGAACCAGGCTGTCAGGGCTCTGGAAGCAAGCAAATAAGGACTTACTAGAATGAGCATTTGTAACCAGTCCCCTGCACTTTCTAACTAGGCAATTTACTTAACTTCTCAGAGGCTCCGTTCCTTATATGTAAGAGGAAGATCATAGTAGTACCTGTCTCACAAGTTTTGGTGAACATTAAATTATATAATGCTTATACAATGTTTAGTACAGTAACATTTTTGCAAATGTTAAAGATTACCATCATCCTTACCCTCAGGGCAGAGACCATTATCATATATTTTTAGGATTGTATTTCCTAAATGTTGCCAGTTAGGGCAGAGCTACTAGGGGAGAAAACATTTTATGCTTTGCTTGACAAATTCACTGCTTCATAAAGAGGAATACTTACATCACCTCCCGTATACACTCAAGGCATATGTATGGTTTCTAGATCACTGGCTTTTTGGAGAGGAGAACCTCAGAAGAAGAGATACTTGCTTGGAACTTCATGAGCTTAGTGTAACATCTGATAGAATCTGAAGGGAGATAGAAAGCTCATGAATTTACAACCTTTTATGTATGGTTTTTAATAACCTCCTACTTGTTATTCTTCACAAAATCCATGGTGCTGGTTTAATTTGTTCAGCGTTGCAAATTAATAAACTATGAATAAAAAAGCACAGTGAGCTGAAGTTTCAAATTTGACTCTTTAATAGCCATTCTCAAAATTCTAAGACCAGAGGAATCTAGTCCTGATTTTTCTTGTTGGATTCTCCTGGAAACTGGAGCCTGAAGAGATTCTAATGAACCTTGGTGACTGGGTGATTAAGTTTTGCATACTGTGAAAATCCAGGTACATGTCTTATGTTGCCAACTATTGTAATTTATCAGAAAGAGAACAGAACTGGAAGCCTGGCTCTGATGACAAGATAGATTGAGCTAATATGAACGTTCCTCCTCCTATAACACATAGAAATGCTAGATACAATAAAATCACCACCTCCTCTAAGGTAATTACATGGTTGAACTGAGAGGAGAAAGGGAGGAAGGGAGGAGGAGGAGAAAAAGGAGAAAAGAGAAAAGAAACCCCCAGGTGCCTGAATTGAAGACGGTGTTTAAATCAAGAGCCATAAATGAAAAACAATATAAAACAACTGTGACAAAATGTTAACATTTATCCGGCTGGTGACTACATAGGTGTCTGTTATATTATTGTATTTATTTTTTCATCATTGCAATATTTTGTGATTGAAAATGGTGATTTTACAAAGAAGAAGAGAGAGGAGAAGAAGGATTTGGATTTGGTGCATCTGAGTCTAATGCCAGCTCTGCATGACCTTAGGCAAATGATCTAACTCCGTCTCCTCATCGGTAAACTAAGGACAATGACATCTACTTCAAACGTGATTTCAGTATTAAAAGGGACAACACATAACGCCCAGCACATAGGCTCAGCATCTTCACTTTCCTGTTATCCCTTCTAACCTGAGGAAGAGCCTCATGAGTCACGCTCTCACTGAGTCTTTCTGGGACAAGGATGATGTCAGACCACTGTGGACACATTGATTGCTGATCTGTAACACTTATGACCATCAGAGGCCATTGCAGCCTCTTTTCTCCTTTTATGATACAAACGTTTTCTAAAAGTCCAGGCCAGTATTATGGAATGCCTTTAAATTTGGTTTGTCCAGTTATTTCCTCAAGGCTAGGGTCAAGTTAAACGTTTCTGGTGAGAATCCAACAAAGATGGCTTTGTATTCCTCTCAGTGCATCCTATCAGGGGCTCCATAAGTTCTGCTCACCTCTTTATGGATGATGTTACATTAGCTCTTTTGGTTAAGGAAATGGCCACTAGATCTCTCTGTTGTGAAGGTAGCTTTTCCCTTTCAGAATTAGTGAAGTATAGATGTGGTTGGACTTTTAGACTAAGTTAATATATTGTCCTCAGTAACATTTCACACGATGGTTTTAACATCAATGAATGATTTTTACACGAATTATTTCAAAGGGGCTGTAACGTTCTCTGGCTTCCTTTTGTCTGATTGCCTGGTGCCTACATAGCTTTCCAGTTACCTGTTTGATTCAGTCCCTCCCTTGAGTATCAGCACTCCCTAATCCTTCACTGTAATTCCGAGATTCATTTACTGTCTTGTCTTCTTGATTCACCTGCTCCTCTTGCCTGTAATCCATGATCTCATCTGGTTGGTGGTGGGTCTCCTGCTTCAGAGGTTAGCATTGTTCATTGTATACCTGATACTTTGACTGGCCTGGGTTGACCTGCAGTCCTTCTCTGCTTAGCTGTATCTCTACTTTGCCAGGGACTGCCCTGCACAATGGGAAATGGTATTTGGGGGACTCTGTCTAGCTTCCAAGCTTTCAAAATAAATTTTTTTATCCTAGCTTCAGAGTAAATAATAAACACATACACATTTGCTCACATTTACCCATCCTACTTGTGATGCATTCTGTTTCTATTCAATTTCATTTTTTAAAGTGCTAGTCAGCCCACTTGATTTCATAAGCTGAAATGGCTGGCAATCTTGTACTTTGAAAAATACTGTGTGAGAGCTTAATGCACCAAATCATCCGAGATCCGCCCTTCCTATGAATACAGAGCGCCCCTTTGGTGATCATTTTGCCCCTGTCTTATTTGAATTTGAATTGTGGAACTTGAGGGCTGGAAGGGTCCTTTAAAAACTCATCCAGCTTCATCATTCATTCAGTGCTTGAACTCCTTCAACAACATCCCTCCTGCTTGGAATATTACCAGCTTCTCTTTAAACATCCAGCCATGTGGAAATTACCATTGTCCCAGATACCCTGTTCCTTTTTTGGGTAAAGTTCCAGATCTTGGTTAAGGTCTTTTCTCTATTTAGACTCCTGGAGGCTATGTAGGACAAGCCGACTCCCTGTTCCACTTGAGAACTGACTGGAGACAGCCATCGAGCATTCTGAGTCCTCCTTTCTCCAAGTCCTTCAGGGGATCCTCGATGGATACCACATGGTTTCTACATTTATAGCCACCCTCCTCAGAGCGCTTTGTCAATATCCTTCCTGAACTGTGACTCCTGCCTTTGACACATTATTCTAGCTCTTTTCTTCTGTTGTCATGCTAGCTTCATCTTATACTGATATCTAACTTCTCGTGGTTCTATGCCTTATCTGCCTTACTAAGTTCTATCCTTTATTTATGGTGACGGCATTTTGTACAGTGTGACTCCAAAGTAAGAAAGTCTTTATTCCCTGGTCAAATAAAGGTACATCCAAATGAATGATGTGTTTCAGGAGTTATGCACTTATTCCAGTGATGCCTTAATCACCCACATTATCCTTTAGAAATTGTATTCACCCTGGGAGAGAGGGAAGGAGAAACATTTGGGGCAAGATGCAGAGGAGACTTCCAAGTTCAGGGCTGACTTCATGTGTTCAGCCTGTACCATCACATGGGGCCCCTTTCGCAGAAGGGCCCTGTACTAGGTTTAAGGCTTGGCCATCATGGTTGGAAATTCTTGATAATGTTATCTTTGAGCTTGTGTTTTTTAAGTAAAGGCTTTTTAAGTAAAGGCACAATGGAACATGTGCATGATCAGAGGAGAAACATGAAAGAAAGAAAAAGCTTTATGTTTTAGTACTTTTAATAGTACTTTATTCCTGCTTTTTGAGCAAGGGAGCCTCGTTTTTATTTTGCACTAGGCCTTTTAATTATGTAGCCAGTTTGGGGTAAGGTTCCTTTTCTTAACCTGAGTGGTAAGTACACAGGTGTTTATTTTATCATTATTATTCCTTAGGCAATTTATATTTATTTTATGTTCTTCTGAATGTATGGTACTTTTTATAAGAAAAAGAAAAGAAAAAAGTCAAAAAATGCTCTCAGAGCCTGAGACTCTTTTCTACAACCTCATGGAGGGTTAATCTTTCTTTTGAGAAATGAATTTTAGTTTTGGAAGCAGTCAAAAGTATTTGGATGATGATTCTGGACAATGACTTTGATGGAAAATATAACTTTAATTCACACATAAAATTATTACTCAGACTGATTTTATCATGAGGTTCATCAACTGCTTCTAAAGAAACTCTAAACAAATGTTATAAATGTACTTTGTAACACATAACATCATTAGATTGCTTAGAAGTTTCTGAGTTAACTCTTTTGAATAGAACAGTGATCTTTGAAAGCATCACTCCTTATATGATTGTTTAGAAATTAGACAAACCACTTTAAATACATTTCTCCACACAATTCTTGAGCACTGTGAAAATACAATAAATATTAATTTCACAATTTGTTTTTCTAAATAATTTAGGGAAAATTCACTATGCAAGGCAGCATAAATGATATATTAGTCCATTTTCACACTGCTAGAAAGATACTACCCGAGACTGGGTAATTTATAAATAAAAAAGATATCCTTCTGTGAAGCCTCTATGTCCCAGTCTTCTGGGAACTCCACCTCCTCTGTGTTCGAACATTAACAGATGGGACCCAGGCTGGGCATGGTGGTTCATGCCTGTAATCCCAGCACTTTGAAAGGACGAGGTGGGTGGATTATGAGGTCGGGAGTTCGAGACCAGCCTGACCAACATGGTGAAACCCTGTCTACTAAAAATACAAAAATTAGCCAGATGTGGTGGCAGGTGCCTGTAATCCCAGATACTCGGGAGACTGAGGCAGGAGAATCGCTTGAACCTGGAAAGTGGAGGTGGCAGTGAGCTGAGACTGCACCACTGCACTCCAGTTTGGGTGACAGAGTGAAACTCTGCCTCAAAAAAAAAAAAAAGAAAGAAAGAAAAGAAAAGAAAAGGAAAAAAGAAAAGTGCATTTATTACTTTGTTATAATGTATGTGGAAAACGTGAACATATGATGTATAACTTGTCCTAAATTAATAACACACCCCACCTGTAGATCTGAGATAAGGTTAGGACATAAAGTTCTTGACTCTTAACTAATCAACACCTTTTCTTCTGCTCTGCTTGATATTCTGTAGGACTGTGGGTTTATTTTTCTTATTCTTGACAATTTAATCATTTTTGCTTATTAATTTAGATCAAAATGGTCAAACCACTTCCCCTCCTGTCGGAATACAAATATAGCCCCTACCACATTTAACCTATACACCATGCTCTGGATAATGACTTCTGGCAATAATGACACAGGGGACATAATTACAGTCAACCCTCCATATCTGTCGGTTCTGCATCTGTGGATTCAACCAACCACAGATCAAAAGTATTCAGGAGAAAAATATGGATGTATGTATTAAACGCGTGCAGACTTTTAAACTTGTCATTATTTTCTAAACAATACAGTATTAACTACACAGCATTACATTGTATTGGTTATTATAAGTAATCTAGAGGTGATTTAAAGTATACAGGAGGATGTGCATAAGTTATATGCAAATGCTATACCATTTTATTATTATTATTCAGGAGAAAAATAGGGATGTATGTATTAAACATGTGCAGACTTTTAAATTGTCATTATTTTCTAAACAATACAGTATTAACTATTTACACAGCATTTACATTGTATTGGGTATGATAAGTAATCTAGAGGTGATTTAAAGTACACAGGAGGATGTGCATAGGTTACATGCAAATGCTACACCATTTTATATGAGGGACTTGAGCATCTGTGCATTTTGGTATCTGAAGGAAATCCCAGAACCAATCTCCCATGGCTGCTGAGGGATGACTGTATATGCTAACGACATTCATGTGCTACATTCGTTCATGATGCTGGTTTCTTAGTTTCTCTGGGGGAGGAGAAGGATGGCAATATAATCCAGGTGATTAAATAAAGCACCATAGCCTATGAGCTTTGCCGTCTGTCTTGAGTGCTTTTCTGCTTGGCCAAGTCAGCAGTGGGCCTGAACCCGCCACCTCCCTGATCACCAGGAAGAGAAGGTGTTAGAACTCTGGAACGGTCATCAGGGAGCTGGTCTCCAGGGCTAAAGACAGAGGATGTGCTGGTGCCAGTTCTTGCCAGCTTGCTAGAACCCACTGTGCACATGTCTTCCCAACTCCATATTCAGTGACTTCATGTTGGTAGTTAAAAATTGGCCATGGTGCATGGTGACTCATGTCTGTAATCCCAGCACTTTGGGAGGCCAAGGCGGTGGATCATCTGAGGTCAGGAGTTCAAGACCAGTCTGCCCAACATGGTGAAACCCCTGTCTCAAAATACAAACACTTAGCTGGGCGTGGTGGCGGGTGCCTGTCATCCCAGCTACTCAGGAGGCTGAGGCAGGAGATTCACTTGAACCCAGGAGGTGGAGGTTGCAGTGAGCCGAGGTCGTGCCATTGCACTCCAGCCTGGGTGACAAGTAAAAAACCCCGTCTGAAAAAAAAAAAAAAAAAAATTTGGCCATGGTGGATTTATCTATACTAAGGGAACTAGCAAATCCAACCCTTTTCTTTTTGGAGGGCCTGTGTTAAACATTTACCAGCACACAACTGGCTGAAGCCCTGAGCACTGAGACCTGAGCCTGTTGGGAAAGGAGCAGCAGCAGGTCTTGAGAAGGCTGGGCTGATGTCCCTTCCATCATGATTTCACTGGTCACACTGCAGGAAAAAAATCCAACACAGGGACCAGGCTGGTGGGACTGCAGCCTGGCTGACCCTTGCAAGCTAAGGATAAACTGAATTTATCAAATATTTCTTTCACTTTGCACTCAACTGTTTTGGGAGAAGAGAAGCATTTTTTCTTCCATGTGTGGGCCTGGCCTGTCATGAGAACTCAAGAGATGTCAGTGGGCGTCCTCCAGTGAAAACAGATTCCTGTTTTTTATAAAAATCATATGACCTGTTTTAATATTAGCTATCATTTCTAGTTCTCCTGCATCTTAATATTAAAGAAAAAACCCAGAAAACTAGGTAAAGAACTAAATTTTATTTGAAAAAAGGGTGAAAAAAGTAAAAGAAAAACCTTAACAAAAATTGATATAGAAGATAAGGGCTATATAGCCTTTTTACCTGTCTTTATTTTGTTGTTAAGGTGTATCCCTAATTTTCCACGTGTTTACACATCCTAGTGGAATGTATAAATGGAAAGTATTACAAACGATACGAGCACTGTCATCTTCGGTGATTTTGGATAGATGGAATCTGCTGGTTAAAGATAAATACTGTTGAAGAAACACAGCACTAAATGTGTATTGGATGGAATCTGTCCTAGCTGTTATTACCTCAGCTGATTTGAAGTCTAAGCGTGTAGCTTCCATTCCAGTTGACATTATCTGAACTGAACAGACAGGATGATGGATGGAATCCACTTTAAAAAATGACACAGTTGAAGTAATACCTAGAAACTTATAGTTTTAAATATTGTTTTCTCAGCAAAAATGAAATAATTTGCTTTCTCCTTTCTAGCAAGACTAATATTCAATTTCTAGTCTCATTAAATTGTCATTTTCTTTAATGTTCAAAATTGACATTTTTGGTCACATCAATTGTATTCACATTTTGGCCAGGCGCAGTGGCTCATGCCTGTAATCCCAGCACTTTGGGAGGCTGAGGCAGGCAGTTCACCTGAGGTCAGGTGT